AATTGTTTAGGAAAGAGCTGCGAGTCAGGGAGGCACCTAGGGTGTTCAGCCCTGGAAAGTCTTCAGACGTCTTCAGAATCTCTTCACAAATTGTTTAGGAAAGAGCTGCGAGTCAGGGAGGCACCTAGGGTGTTCAGCCGTGGAAAGTCTTCAGACGTCTTCAGAATCTCTTCATAGCCAGGGGTGTGTGTGTGTGTGTGTGTGTGTGTGCGCGCGCGCGTCCCTTATTTGTATGCTATTTTTGGATCAGATAGTAAGTTTGTCTGGGGCTGGGAGGAGCACAGCGGCAAGCCAGGGTTCCTTCTCAGCCAGAATGAGTTGTTCAAGCTCTTCCTTTGAAGCGAGGACTCTTGAGGGGAAAAGGAAAATAGGCCCCTTTAGAGATCATTAGTTTTTGCCTCCTGGTGCAGGAAGGGCAGCGCGCTGGGGTTCCGGGAAAAGAAAGAGTTGCACAATTGTGGCGTCACTTTCTAGCTTCCAGTAGCAAAAATTGGGCCCCTTCCCCAAACCCCAAATAATAGAGCAACGCGCAGAACACCGCCTGACCTGGCAAGCCCACTGCCACTTAATCTGGCGGCCCACTAGCCCCAGGACGTGCTGTGCCGGCAATGGTGAGCGCATCTGGAAGTCTGTGGCTTGCTTAAAGCCGGACTTTGGCTCCGGTCTCCCACCCTGAGCCTCAGTGGGCAGGAAACTTTGGTGGCTGTTTTCCCGCACCCCGCCCACCGCGAGCCGCAGGGAACTGCTCCCAGCACCTGCGTGTTCCACTGGGGTCTGGGGTGGGTAGGGAGGGCGCGACCCGCGGTGTCAGCTCCCAATTCCCATCATGTGAAGGATCTTTAGGATATGAAGATCTCCACAGTTCCGGCATTCATCGCGTTGTTCACAATGCGGGTAGTGACTAGCAGAGGGTAAAGGGACTTGCCCCCCCCCCGAAACCCCCGTGGTCACCATCAGGAATAGAGGCCAGGCGAAGTGGCCTTGAGACGAGGCGCACTTGCTGAGCCTGCCTTGCATACCGCCGCCTGAAGGAGACTGGGGAGAGTGGGCATCTGCGGGCTGACCCGCCTCGGACCAGCACGGGTCTCTGCCTCAGGCTCCCATGGCGTTGGAAGCACCCGGCGTCCAGTCGGCGGCTATGTGCGGGGGTCCAGGCTCTAGGCGGTGACCCGATGCTTTTGTGCTTCCTCCGCAGGAGCCGACCGGAAGCCCCCCAGCCCAGGCAGCAAGGCCGCGGAAGCGCTCGGGAGCTTGCACGGACTGCCCATCCCGGCCTCGACCTCCTAGGGGCGGCTGCTGCAGATCCGCAGCCAGAGCAAGCCCGGCGCGCCCAGGAGTCGGAAGGCGCAGCTCGCTCTCTGTTAACCCTGCCGGGCCCCAAATCATCCGCGACACCTGGAGCGGGAGGCCCCGCGCTGTCCAGGCCTTGTCCTGCCTCTGGTCTGGCCCGCCGCGCCTTCCTCTATGCGCCCTGGGTCTTTTAAGCTTTTCTGAACTTGGTGGCTTTAGACTGTTGCATCCTCATTACCACCCTAGTTCTGACTGGCCTCTTGCGCGCGCATGGACAGACTCAACTATCATTTCTGTACCCCCTCCCACCACCCTCGTTGTCCTTCCTCCCTTCTTTTCTCTTCCCCTCTCCTCCTTCCTTCCTTCCTTCCTTCCTTCCTTCCTTCCTTCCTTCCTTCCTTCCTTCCCTAAACCCGGGTCCTCTGCAAGAGTAGTCAGTGCTCTAAACTGCTAAGCCATCTCTCCAGCCCCCCCCTCCCTCCCTCCCTCCCCCTCCCTTCCTCTCTCTCTCCCTCCTCTATTTCCTCCTCTCAATGTCAGCTCCTTTACATTCTCCCTTTTCTTCCCATCTGCTCTCTTTCTTCTCCTTTTCCCCTCTATCAGGGGCTACATTTCCCATTATCTGTACAGCGTCCCTGATCCTCCACTTCTCCAATCCAGGAAAGCCTTCTACCATCCCTTTCTGTGACCCTGATTCCTCTGAACCCTCACAGCCCCAAGGTAGTGGGCCTTGAACCTAGGACCTGAGCAAAGAAGCCAAAGCCATTTTATATTTTTATAGTAGCAACTCAGAGCACAGCCTTCTGGAATTATCCCCTGATTCCCCAGAAATTGTCTGGAAACTCGTGTTTTCTCTGCATTGGCTCAGCTGTCTTTGCTTCTGAGATTATGTCACCTGAAAGAGGACTGGGATAGGAGAAAGGGATACTGGGGCTGTTGATATTTTCAATAATTTCGAGATACAATAGATACATCCTCTCCCGGCCCTCTACTCCCAACACCTGGGAATCTGACAAGCTATAAAGCATCAGCATTGTTTTGGGTGCTCCATGCTCAGCACAGTTGTTAAAGAACAAACTGCTTCAGGGTACCAAGGTTCATTCTGGCTTCTGGTTTGCAAGGGATGGGGTGGTTATAAACCCAGGGACCCAGGAAGTGTCTTTGGGTGCTAGGCATAAGGGCTGTTAACTGATTTCAAGTTCAGGCGCACTGGTGGTGGGACACTGAGTATAATGCGATATTTTTGTAGTCATAAAAACATTACTAATGAGAGTCTGCCATCCCCTGTTAACTATGGCTGCCTTTGAATAAAGGAAAGTGTCTGAAACTTGCTTGGTAAGGGAGAAAATCTGTGTCCTCTGCAATGTTTTGTGCGGACCCTCAAGTTGCCCCAGTCCCTGGGTACCAGGATGAACGATCATACAGCCCAGACTGGGCAGCAGGTGGAAAAGAAGGTTTACCTGCATGGGGCCATTTGTTGGTGGCCAGTGGTGACAGATACTACTGGCAGTTTTCTTTCTCCTCTTGGGACCAGCTTGTCAGAGTCCAGGAAATACCAGCTCAGGAGCTGACGGGAGAGACAACTGACGAAACCATTCTAAAATAAAGTGAATTCTTAAAGGGCAAAAGGCAGTGAGCAACAATGGCAGGCTTTTCCAGAACATTTCTAGCATTCTAAAAGCTAAAGGAAATTATCTCAGGTTACCAAATAATCAAGGGCTTTTAAACTACAAAGGCATTTCTGGCTGGTTGTTTTGTTTTTTCCTCCCAGTGTTTGGCTTTCTGAAACTGATGGAAGAGATTTGTGAGTTGAGGTAGTGTTTGTAAATGGAGCTGCCTGCTGTGGCTATCTGCTCTGTACCCATCACTAGAACAGTGGGAAATAATTTTCATGGCATCTTTTTTTTCTTTTTCATAATAGTACCGGTTGAAGTTATCAGTCATAAAACAGTACCTGCATTCTTCATACAGAGACTTTTTAGGTTTTCATTCTCTTTAAAATGTTCCATTTTATAGATAGGAATGTTGAGGGCTAGAGATGGATTGTTTTTTTGAGATCGCACAGCAAGTCATGAAGCTAGAGCTTGGGTATAGAACTAGTGGTATTGTCTCATTCAAGAGTCAGGATTGGAATCTGAACTCTTAAGATAGTAGAGGTCAGTCTTCCCTGTGCCAGTCGATCCTGCAGAGAAGCTGGTCGTAATGACTCTAGGTGATCTCAGTTAGTCTTGATGTGTTCAGATGAGTACAACTTACTCAATCCTGGCATCCATGTTCAGGTGTCCCTCCTTGCTACCTGGAGAAGGACTGGCTTGCTTAGACTGGAGAAGGCATTGAAACCCTTTCTTAAAAATACTAAAAGTATTTCTACTATCATCTCTGTCTCCTTCCTTGTTTCCCTGTCTCTTCCCACTGTGTGTAGGCTGCACAGGGTGAAGGGGTAGGAAACCTGTAAAATCCAACTCAAGATAATAGAGGGTGACTTTTTTTTTTTTTAAATGCCACACCTGTAAAAGGAAGCACTTCCCAGATCTGTCCCCATTGTTTTCCATAACCTATGGCTAAAGGCCAGTCTGTTAACATTCTGGGCTTTCGACTCCAGGCCTGGGGGAGTTTTGGGGGGAGACATAAGATCTTCAGTTACAATGCTGGCAGGCTTTGGCAATTCATGGGAGGGACCAAGGAACAAACCTTCCTGAGTCATGGGCTGTGAAGAGTCTCACTGAACTTGGCTTACATTCCTGCTCCACTCAGGTGACAGGACTGTGGCTCTCCTAGCTACTTTGCTGCCATCTGAGAGATTCATCCTTCCAAAGTGGTAATGCCTGTAGGGACTCCATCTCTATGAAGACCCACTGTTGCTCAGTCTTTCTGAAAATGGCCTGGCTGTTGCTCCATCTCTCTGGAGGTGAAGTTGTTTAGGGGTTAAGAGAATTCTTGCCGGGGCATGGCGGTACATGCCTTTAATCCCAGCACTTGAGAGGCAGAGGCAGGCAGATCTCTGTGAGTTCCAGGCCAGCCTGGTCTACATAGTGAGTTCCAGGCCAGCTGGGGCTACAGGGAGACCCCGTCTCAAAAAGACCAACCCCTCCTAAACAAACAAACAAAAAACAAAAAAGGGGTTAAGAGAATTCTTTTTTTAAAAATTAAAAAAATGTTTTTTCTTTATTATTTTTATTTTATGTGTATGAGTGAGTGTATTGCCTGCATGTAAGTAAGTGCACCCGTGTCGTGCAATGCCCGCGGAGGACAGAAGAGGCCATCAGATCCCCTGGAACTGGAGTTATAGACAGTTATTAGCTGCCATGGGGGTGTTGGGATTCGAATCCGGGTCTTCTGCAAGAACAGTGTTCTTAACTGCTGAGCCATCTCTCCAGCCCCCCACCCTTTGAAAAAAATATTTTCTTTATTATTTTTAGAGAATTCTTTCTAAAGGTGATGGGAATCCAGAATTCAAATATTCTTTAGACGATGACATTTTGTCCTCTGTGCATCTGGATCTATAGAGGAATTGCAGACTTATAATAAAATGTTACAGTATAACTATGGGTAGAACAACTTGAAAAAGAATCATTGCTCAAAGATAGTTTGTCTCTGGGCTGCCACCAGCCTTTTATTTTTAAATTTAAGCCCATTTTTTGATAGACATTTCAAAAAGAAAACTATACAAGAAAGACATATAATCACTCAGATGACCCCTTGATGGTTTTGGAAAAATGAGGGCAATGTACATTGGTCACTGAAAAACTCACTAGTTCAGAGACACCCAAATGAAAATCAACCTTTCCAGTCTCTTCTCATCTCTGCTCTTAAAGGTGAATGCTCTTGTCACCTTCCATCCCACCTTCTTTCAGCAGAGTATGTGTTTCTGTCCACATGCTTTCTCAAGTGCACAGTGAGGAGTTGTGCTGTGCACATAGGTATGGCCTGGCCCACAGACCTGCTCCTTACCTCACTCCACCACATTCACTTTATTCCCTTGAATGGATGCATATAAACAAGAGTTTATTAAAAACATTGTATTTGTGGGACTGGAGAGATGGCTCAGAGATTAAGTACACTGATTGTTCTTGCAGAAGACCTGGGTTTGAATCCCAGCACCCACATGGCAACTGTGTATGACTCCAGTTCCAGGGGATCCAACAGCCTCTTCTGTCCCCCGCAGGCATTGCACGGTATGGGTGCACTTACATACATGCAGGCAATACATGCATACACATAATATAAAAAAAATATCAAAAAAACACTGTATTTGTAAAGAGGGTCAGCTTCCTGCCTTAAGTGAATAAAGGCAGGATTTTTTGTACTGTTTGTTGGGGGTAGTATTTAGAGTGGATATTAGCAACTTCCCTGGGAAAAGTGACTGCTTTGTAGCAAAGAAGAGGGACAACAAACTCAAGGAAAGGAGGACAGAAGGACAGGGGACATGGAGCTTTGTCAGTGTGACCTAACTCCTACAGATCAGGGAAGGGCACCAGAAGCTGCAAGAAGTTGGCAACTCAGTTTCCCTTGCCTTGGGAGGGAGTCCGGTGTCTCTGGGCCAGGAAAAGAAGAGCTAGGCTAGGGATAAGAGAGACACTGAAGAAATACTGATACATACCAAGAGGAAGTATCTGATACTGGCACAGGTGTTCCTTTCCCCTCTCTGGGGTTCACTGAAGTCTACGTGGAATTAGCCTCATGGTAGTGACCTCCACTCCCTGACAACTACGTTTCCCTTTCACTTGTTCTTGACTCCTGTAAAAAGATGGGGATTTGTCTAATTGAACTGTGGTCTGAGTATAGTTCACTGTTGATTTCCTGGCATCAGCTTCTCTAGCTAGAATTACACGGGCCAGGGTTTCTTTTCAAAAGAAATTCTACCTGCTCCATGCTATGCGGATGATATGAATTTAGAACCTTGCCCGAATGTGCTGGAGGAGCTCAGTTGAAAGGATCGTGAATCCAGACAGGCCATGTAATGAGAAACATTTGATTTCTTTCTTTTAATGGGAGAG